CTCTTTCGAAATGAAGCGATGCTAAACCCCTCTTCCGCAACCCCATCCCCCACCCCTCTGACCCTCATCGCCACATCGTCCCACCTGCAATCACAATCCTCTTTCCCTTTTTCATACCTCTCACGTCAGAAGGAGGAGAAGAAAACGAAGAAGGACAACGAAGGACAAAGAAGAAGGAAGAAAAAGGAAGAAGGGAAAAAACACAAGGAAGAAGAAAAAAAATGCAAGGAAGAAGGAAGAAGAAGGAAGAAGAAGGAAGAAGAAGGAAGAAGAAGGAGAAGATGGGCGAAAAAGGAGATCGAAGAAGGGGAGATGAAGAAGCAAGGAGAAGGAAGAAGGAAGAAAAAGGAAGAAGGAAGAAGAACGAAGAAGGAAGAAGGAAGAAGAAGGAGAAGATGGGCGGCGGAGGGAGGAAGGAGGAAGGAGGAGGAAGAAGGAGGAAGGAGGAGGAAGGAGGAGGAAGAAGAAGAAGGAAGAAGAAGGAAGAAGAAAAAGATAAAAGAACGACAAAGGAGGAAGAAGAAGAACGAAGAAGAACGAAGAAGAAAGAAGAAGAAAGAAGAAGAAAGAAGCAGCAGAAGTAAGGAGGAGGAGAAAGAAGAAGATGGAGAAGAACCGGGAATAAGGAGAAAGGGGGAGGAGGAGGAGAAGGAGAAAGAGGGAGGAGGACAAGGAGAGAGAAGGAGAAGGACAAAGAGTGAGGAGAAGAAGGGGAAGGAGAAGGAGAAGGAGAAGGAGGAGAATGGAGACGAGCTCACCTTGACACGTCCAGCGCCTGACAACATCGCGAGAAGCTCGCCCCTTGGATCGAATGCTGACATGGCTTCTCGAAGCTGCATCCCGCCTCCTAAAGGTGGTGCCATCCTCTTTCCTCTTTTCGCAAAATCCCCCTCTTTTCGCAAAATCCCCCAAAAAGTTGGTCGTCAAAAAAATAAAAAAAATAAAAATGAAACGAATATGTCACCTTTAGAAAGCTCGCGTCTTCTCTACAACCACCAACGAACGACCCCAAGCGAACGACCCCAAGGACCTCGAATCTATTCCAAGGGTCCTTTTTTTATGAAGTTATGAAGTTTGGCGCTCCAAGCATTATGACTCCGGCATCACTCCGCCAGATAATCAAGCTTTCGATCCAATCACGTCCAACCTGATTAATCAAAAAAGTCGAGAGGAGAAACATATTAACTTAAGAACGAGGGGGGAGGAAGGGGGGGGGGGAGGGGGGAGAGGACCATGGGGGCGAGCGGGTGAAGGGGAGGAGGCGACCAGGGGGGGCGGGAGGGGGTGAAGGGTGGGGAACCTTCAGATGGAAGTCCACATGGGCAGCAGGCTGACATGTGCTGATGTTCGTCTTGATGGCTGGTCACATGTGAAGGGTGGGGAACCTTCAGATGGAAGTCCACATTCATAGCTTTTTTGTTCAATAAACAATCCGTCGCTCAAAGAATTCGGTTGACTGATATACAATCACTATGCGGCCTAATTCATTTAACAGCTCACTAGCAAAGCTAGTTTAGCGGCTTCATTGAATAGGATTGGATTGGATTGGGTTGGGTTTGACTCGACTGAATTGGATTGGGTTGGATTTGATTCATTCATTTATTCAGTCCATTCATTGGTTGACACGTAGATCGGTCATATCATTTGGTTAGCAGGTATGCGCTGAGATCGAGAGAGGACAATAATCACATGTGACTGATTAATTGATTGGTTGATTGACAGATTGGCTGAGTGATAGATTGGCTGAGTTATTAATTGGTTGATTGATCGATTAACTGACTGATTTTTGCTCGATTGATTGATAGGTTGATTGATTGGTTGCTTTGATTGTTGCCTGTTTGGTTGATTGATTGGTTGATTGATTGGTTGATTGATTGGTTGATTGATTGGTTGATTGGGTTCTTGGTTGCTTGGTTGCCTGATTGCTTGCTGCTTGATTGGTTGCTTGCTTGCTGCATGATTGATTGATTGATTGATTGATTGATTGATTGATCGACTGATTGGTTGCTTGATTCATTGATTGTTTGCTTGCTTGATTGGCAACTGGATTGACCGTCACATTGATTGGCAGTCATTAATGGCTTATTTGCTCACCATTGCAATAAATCGCAGACCTGACATACACGTTTCTTTCGTTATCCATAAGGCTAAAATTCCTTTTCGTTTGCCGCATGCATCGTTATCCCTGGCCTTACACATCGCCAGGGATGTGTACACTCCGCTCTCATCGACCGTCTTCCCTATGAATACATCACCAATTTATCAGTTCCGCACTTCTTTCCCAGTATGTGCGCAGGAACGAAGTTGACCACATATAACGCATCATACTATACTGTCTTTTTTTTGTTTTTTTTTAACCCCATTGTCCCCATGTGCTTTTCCTTCCGTATTAGGGTTTTTTCACTTGTTCTTTTCCTTTCTCTGCCCGTCCCGATTCTACACCTGGGTGTCCAACAATTCGGATCCCGATGTCCAAATTGCTGCACTGTCCTAGGGCGAAAAGGTGCGCAGGGGGGAGGGGGGGGAAGGGGAAGGGGGAGGGGGAGGGAGAGAGAAGAACTGAGGAGAAGAGGGGAGCAGAATAGACCTGGAGGTGCTCAGAAAAGCACAGACCTTGAGGGATAAACGGGCAAATGCGTCTTCAGCGTCGAAGGATAAAGGGCATTCAGCAAAATGGAACCCCGATAGGCATTGTAGGGAAGATTTGAGGGCTCATTACTGATGACGCGAGTGTTTTTTTCTTCTGCGAATAAGGTGGGGATATAGAACCGAGTGTGAATGGAAAGTTTGAGCATGTGAAGGCGTAGGCGTGGCCGGATGTGAGAGTATTGCGTATTTGTGTGACCACCAGTGTATACGTGACAGTGTGGAGGGCGTAGGCGTGCGTTGGCATCGGTGTGGCAGCTCCCCAGCGCGACAGCGAGAGAGAGACAAGAGAGCAACCGTGGATGGATCGAGATCCCAATCAAAAGGTGGTGGGTTAGGGGCAGCATACATTCTCTCTCTCTCTCTCTCTCTCTCTCTCTCTCTCTCTCTCTCTCTCTCTCTCTCTCTCT